CGTCCAGCCATGTTTAGTTCCCTTCCAGAAGCAGGCAGTAGTAAGTCCAAAGAGAAGGTTTCGCGGTTGATTACGAAAGGTCTATGCATCATGAGAAAAATTATCCAAAACTAAACAACAATAGACTACATCAAAAAATTTTAAAGATGTTTCAAAATATCCGACCCCGAACTCCGAACCCGAACGCGAACGCGAACTTAGCCGAACCTTAGGATGCTTCTAAAATCTCTTATATAGCTCAAAAAACTATAAGACAACTACCTAGATACCCCACACTGTCAGTATCTGTTGGACACCACCCGAACCCGAACTCGAACCCGAACCTGAGCCGAACCTGAACAGTTCGGTCCCGAACTCCGAGCCGAAGTTCGGGTTTGGTGCATCCTATCTCAAATTAAAGTTATTAAGAATCTAAAACAAAAAACGGAATCTGTATGAAGTCATTTTTGTTTTCTATTAATGTAAAAATGCTCACTTTACTATCAGATCGAGATGGATATCCAAAGTCTACGTTTTCAAATATGATATCAGTCGAAGTAGCATGTCTTGGAATTGCACCATCAGTGGAAGAAGCATTGATTTGAGATTCCTAAGCAAGACAATACATTTGATCATGAAATCTGAAGGAATTTGAGAACAATTTTTGATATATAAGCATACTCTTTTAATGAGATCAAGTATTGTAATACTGGAATTAGACATATTAGTAAATGTCTATCATTGGCTGTAGTTTAGTCAGTCCCAATGTCAACATCAAACAACAGGCAAAAATCTACGAAGCACAAAAAGATCGTGTATTTTCCAAAGAACTCTTTCTCATATCTTACAACTATCACATTGCCAGCGTTATAATTGATACATTCTGTTCGAATTAAATAAGGCCCACACCTAGAAAAAGTATACGATTGGTTTAGAGACGTTGCGGCAGAACAGACTTGATCGACTTTTCGTTGGCGAATAATTCTTTTTTGGAGTCTTCTTTTGTAAGAGCACAAAGATCCAAGAATTTAGAAATTGATAGGCTCAGAAATAGAGCAGAAGCGGTGCGATCTTCCAGAGTTGGCGAGCGCTGAGATCGGAGACTGTTGTGGCAAAGGAGCTAACTCCAACTTGGCATAAGATGTTTACGATGAAGAGGAAGCGATTACTAGCACTTCTGATCAAAAAAACGGCGGTAATGAAAAGTATGTGGGATGTCGAACATTCCAGATTACAGTAACCGAAGAAACAGAGGTGCTCTTAGCGTTATTCAACTTTTCCTACTAACAGTGCGACGCGAGGAGGCAAACGGAAGGACAAGATATTTAAAAAATTGGACTTTCTTAGATTGTTTCACTATTTTTTAAGTTCCTCGAAAATGGAATATGGACATCACCGGCTCTTGATTGTGAATGATTATCTTTTATTTTCCACATACCAAAAAATAATTGCAAATGCTGAGTATAAAATCGAATTAATAAATAATTGACATAAACCCGTATACACTCCTTTGTTTATTCCAGCATACTTTGCTTGCAATAAATGATTTTCATACCTTTAAAGGACAACATTCGTATATGATCATGTGGGCAGAAGATAATAAAAAAGTTCGATGATGCTCATCTTCATACCGAATCAGCTTTATTCATACTGTTTTGATTCTGCCGAAACGATGTCAAGTGTATCACGTTATCTTCTACTTCTACAGTATTTTTTTCTCACATAAATAACTCAGTGAGGATAATGCCTTAAAGTTGCCTTGATTTAAACCAGAACCCTGCAGGTTGCCAATATTTGGCAATCTATAACCTAACTTATAAAATATTTCACAAACTAATCCTAACCTAAACTATGGATTCGGCAACCTAATCCTAACCATTGAAAAAAAAATAGAACAACCTATAACCTAACCTAGCCTATAGCTTTTACAACCTAATCCTAACCTAACCTATACGTTAGATTAGGTTGGGTTAGGATCAACCTGCAGGGCTCTGATTTAAACAGAGTCATAATAATGAAATGTAAAACATAACGAGCACCATCGTACTTCCGCCCATACAGCCGTGTAGAACAATTTTTGTTAAAATATGAGATGCTATAATATAAGTTCCTCGAAAATGGAATATGGGCATCGCCGGCTCTTGATTGTGAATGATTATCTTTTATTTTCCACGTACCAAAAAATAATTGCAAATGCTGAGTATAAAATCGAATTAATAAATAATTGACATAAACCCGTATACACTCCTTTCTTTATTCACGTGATTCACGTGAGAATTTCTGGCGCTCACGGAGGCTTTCATTGAGAGAGCATTGCTTTTCATCTGTAGCAGAAATGAGCAGTAGTTAATGAAATGTCAAATTATGTTTAAAAATAAAACGGTATTGATATTTTATCATTCGATGCTTCCACCGTTCGAAATCAAAGATATTAAGTTTTTTTTGTAATCGCAAATTTGATTCAAAACTCATTTAGAATTACCAGTCATCAGACAAATTATCTGATGGTGAAAAGCAGCGTGTGGCTGTTGCTCGAGCTTTAATTTCAAAATGTAAAGTATTATCAGGCGATGAAGTTACATCTGCTTTGGGTAATTAATATAGATACAAATGCTGTGACTGCTTTTTGATGCTTCACTCGAATCTTTCATTTATAGATAACCAAACAGAAAGAAATCTTCTAGTGACACTTCAAAAAGCAAAAGTAGAATTAGGTCTGACAATTGTTGTTATTGCACATCGTTTGTCAACGGTTATCAATGCAGATAATATTGTCTGTATGGAACATGGGCGTGGAATTGTTGAACAAGGTACACACGCACAATTAATAGAAAACAATGGTTTATATAAACAATTTTATATGGCACAAAAAATGAAAGAAACTCTACATCAAGGTAACAAGGAACTATAAAACATCGCTTTTTCAAAACTGGCTAACTATTTTCCACTTACAAGGGAATATTATCAGATGTCTACATCCGTTTTCGGTGATATAGTGACCGTGGAGGTAAAGTGTTCTAGTAAAAAGCCTAAAAAGATTTGGGTTCTTGTTGCTTCTTTCAAAAGTTATGAATTTATTTCTTTTCGACAAAATTTAAAAAAAAAAAAAGACACCATCTAGAAAAAGTTTTAGAGTGGTTTTTGTTATTATCTAAAAGGTCCGACGAATGAAAAATCTACCTGTCGCCGTTCAAGATATCGTCATATCGAATGTAAAATGGGTCGTCGTATTTCCCACGCAGTAGAGGGAGGGACAGAGTCATATGCTGAAATTTTTGGTTCGTTCTAATTTGATGAGCCTTTTTAACTCGTAAACTCAAAAGATCCTACGAAAATTTCTTAGAGGTCCCTGTTGTAATAAGCAAATAATCATTCAATCGAAATTTAGGCTCTGTGTCTT